AGTACTAAGCTTATTTTGAAGAATTACACTTGTGTCCTTGCATTAGCATTTGAGAGAGGTCCTGTTGCCCCCCGAAGCAGAACTGAACAAAAGTTCTAATTCCTTCAGGCTGCAGTGAGAGCTGCTCTGCTGTGTTCCTGCTTTCCCTAGTGCCTTTGTTGCTGCCAACTTGCTTTAGATTATCTTTTCACTCTTTGATGTTTTGGAACATGCATGACAGTACTGATATAATAGGAGTGGATACAAGAGACAAACTTGGTATCTTAATAGAAATGAAGATTACAGAATAATGGTGTCGAGAGATAATTTTGCTTAGGAAATTTCTTGAGTACATCATGCCTTGACACATTCTGGGTAGTCAGAAGAAGGGTTGCTGTTTGGTGGGCTTTTCCTGTAGACTGTCTAATTAGAGGAAAATTTCTAAAGGAGGAAAGTAGTTGTGAAGCTTTTGTTTTTTAAACAACTAGCAGAATAATCTGATAAGTGTTGGAATTTGAACTGTCCAAATACTTTTCTGGGCAGGAATATAGTGGGATGAATAAGGTGCAGTTTCATGTTACTGGCTGGGTGTTGCAAAAAGTGATGAAGCTGCTCTTTTCCTCAGACACCCTCTGTCTCTGCGCTGAGTGCTCCTACTGGGAGCTCCTACTGAGTGCATCCTTTTGATTCTGGGATTGTCTGGCCACGTGATGAGCCTGTGTAGGAAGCTAACCTGATGGAAAATTAACTTGGGGGGGGAAGGCAAGCAGATTTTTAGATTTTGGATGAACTCTTTGTATAGCTTTAAACACAAATTTGGATGAGCATTAGTACAAGGTAGAGGGAATTAAGTTTGAGGAACAGTACCATTGTTCTGAAAGTACTGGATCAAATTAGCATCACAGCACAACCAACTGCCAAAGTTGTACTTCTGATAGCTTTTTATGTCAGGCAGAGAAAGCAACTGAAGAGGAAAGCTTTTCTGGATATGAGCCTAACTAATAGGTTGAAAATAATTAAATGTAAAAGTGGAAGGCAGTTTCAGTGAGAATAAACTACCTTCAATAACTACGTGTTGTGAAACGGTATGTATGAAAGATCCAAGTTGAGAGAGAGAGGGAAGAAAGCTAAATCTCCTGTATTCTTCAGTAGTTTGGACTGAGTTTTTGTAAGACAACTGCAGCTATTCCAATGTAGTTTCAATAACACAGAAATCTGGAAGCACTGAAAGTGGAAATGGATGAATAGGAACAAATAATATGCGAACAATTAATACTTACATGAAAGATTTACCTCAAAAGGAGGAACAAGGTGAGATCCATCTAGCAATGAATATGCAGAATAAGAAGAGAATATTCTGTAAATATTTGTAGTAAGAGGAAACCTTGATTGTATTTGATACTGAGATGTTTGAAATGTTCATCTGCTATAGCTTTTCATGAGGTTCTTTTTTTTTTCCCCCTTGGTATTCATTTTAAAAAGATATTTTTTAATTTAGTGATGCAGCTAAGCCAGTTTAATGGCTAGCTGCTACCAAAGGGGATCATCTTCCTCTCATCCTCCCTTTCCTCACTGCCTCCCCAGCCCCCTGGCAGTTCAGGGAGCTAATTTGTCAGAAGACTAATTGTTCCTAATTGCTTTCAAGGGAAATAACAGGAGAGAGATGGCTTTCTGTGGATTTGATTCTCTAAACTGTCATCATAGGTTCAGTCTGGCATAAGGCAGTGGTAATATGGAGACTGACAGCAAGGGGCACAAGACTGCACCTTGTGGTGGTAGCTAACTGTTAGATGAGTTTCCTTCTAACATGAGAAATTACAACCTTTGATCTTAACTAACTCACCTAAAATTCATGCTAGGAATTTAAAGAAACAGTCTGAAATAAGTTCTCAAATAGCTGTGAAATTCTGAGGGACAGATGATGTTCCAGAGGAGAAGGGAAAAGGCACAGCAACCATGCTGCTTAAACCCCAAAAACCCAACCCCCAAAAAAACCCCAAACAAAAACCCCCAAATCAAAACCCCATTAACAGCCTGTTGAAAAGGTGGGAGTTAGAGGCCTACAAACAAGCTATCTTAACACCAGTTCCTGGAGGAATATGGATAATGTGAATTATTTAGCCCCAGTAATCACCTGGAAGATACTAATCTCTTTGTGAAAACTAATTTGTTGTTCAAGAACAAACCCTGGTTAATCTAGTCTAACTTCTTTCTGTGGCAGGGTAAGGGACCTGGTGGATAGTTGCATCTTGACTTTTAAAAAAGGCTTTTTGATACTGCTCTGTTATGCAATGAACAGAAACAGTATTATAGAAACTTTTATAGTGGAAATATATCTAATTGGAAAACTATATCCGGAAATGGATGAACAGTCAAAGTGAAAAGATTTGGTAAAAATGTTGGTATTTTCAGGAATGACTTGGAGTACAGCATCTACATATTAAAGCAAGGTAACATGAAGGGCAGCCAGCGTGTTTGATTAGGATTTGGAATTCAAAATCATTCTGACAAACTGAGGAAACCACTGCATTTTTAAATGGAAGGCTATGGTTTCAGATGAATGAGGTGTTGCATGTGGGTCGGAGTAATCAGCTGTGCAATCATAGTGAAGAATGACTGCAGAATAGAAGCTGTAAACTGTAGTAGGTTAGTTAACTGTAGATATTTAACGTGCTTTCATGTTAAAAATGAGTGCTTCCAGAGTTACCAATCACACCTGATATGTATATAAAGGAGAGAGAGATGTGCTGAGCCACCAACTGAGATGTTGAAGTTGGGGGCAAAGCTGCTGTTGCTGATTTCTGTCCAAGTAAGTGAGAACTTGGTGCATAGGGGTGTAAAGGGGACGTTGCCTTGTCTGCATATTTTCTTTTATTTGGTAGAGTGTCTCTTGTGATGAATTGAAACAGATGTGAGTGGCAGAGGAATTTACCTGTTTCAGTGGAGGAACTTTTATCTAGTTGCTTTCATAATTTGTGTGTCTACTAACACTCTCTGCTCAAGTACTGAGTATTTTTGTAATTGGGATGAAAGTTGGGCAAAACTATGATTTGTGCTTCCATTTCAAAAACATTGTTAAGATTTCTTCAAATACTTGTTACTGAAACCTATTAGGAAATTAGTATAGACTACTGGTACTAACTAGCAGTGCCCATTTCCATATCAGAGAGGGATCAGAGAAACTGAAATCTTAATTTACTGTCTAACCCTCTTTTCTTCCCTGAAACAAAGCATTTTTTTGTGTTTAAAAACACAAGTTGGGAAAAATGCACCAGGAATCCTTCATATGATTATTAAAACAGTAAGCCTTTGCTGTTACTCAAAAACCATTGGTTATTACTATGTATTTTACATAGAATCCTACTGTACTATATGGAAATAAAGCTTAATTCCCAGTTCTGCCACAGTTGCAGCTGTTGGGACAAAGTCCTGAAGAATTATTACCGTTTACATAAATTTGAGGTGTCCTGCAGCAGTGCTTTACTAAAAGGTAGAAAAGAAATTGTTTTGTGCCATACCCAAGAAAGAATTTTAGCTGCCACACTCCTAGGTGACATATGTGTCTACGCTTAACAAATGCTAGAGGATCAAAATCAGTCCCATGAGTTTTACTCGCGACTGTGTGATACATCTTATTCTCACTATTAGTCTCTTTTCATGAAGAAACTTTTTAACAGGGGACAGATGTGAAAAAATTCCTGCAGCTTGTTTGAAGGTAGAGATAGGCTAAAATCCTGTGAATCCTTGCAGCAGAATTATACTCTGAAGCAGGTTTTAGTTTGAGGCTGTACTGACTGCAGTTTACAATAAAGCCTATTTTATAATTTTCTTTTTTTTTTTTTTGAAGTTTAGACAGAAGATGTTAATTGTCTTTATTGTACTGAAGAGGAGGTAAATTGAGGTCAAACGGACAAAAGCATAATAAGATCATACGGATGAACACTGATACGTTTTTACTTCAATATTAAAATCGATTATCCCTGCTACCCTTTCGTCGCAGTTCTTGTTTCGAGTATTTTGGTAATCTGGTTTATAGCATCTCACCGATAGCTGTATTGGCACAGCTGATGCAGCACTAGTTTACTGAGCACCTGGGAAGGAACATCTGAGTATAGAAACTTAAGAAACCAGCTTTGGTACTAGGGAAAAAATACCAGGTTACATAGTCAGTAAACCATTTATATACATGCACACATCTTGCTGTGTGGGTTTTTGTTGGTAGCTCTGTATGAACTCTGCTGATACTACTTCCTGTCTTGACAGCACCACAGGAAGAATGGAAGGCATTTGAATAGTAGCATTAGAAGATTACTAGAATTTGTGATGTTACTGATCTGTTACTTGGGTTGTAGTAACAGATATAAATGTAATTTACTTTTAAGCTTGAAAAACAGTTGCAGATTTCTAAAAGTTAATTATTCTCAACATCATGGTTTATAGTTTAATAATAAACTTTATTTGATGGATTAGGAGGGGGAAAAAGGAGGATAATGGAAAACATTGGAGGAAATGAGAATGTCTTTAGGAATCATTTCTCTGTCTGGGTAAAAATAGTTGCTTCTCTTCATAATAGGAGATGATGGCAGGCCTCCTTTCTGGTTTTCTGACATCACTGGCAATAAATGGCTGTAGCAAGTACAGGTTTAATACCAGAGCTACTACTGTCTGCAGCTACTTGTTATAATCTGTATATGTAATCAATCTTAAGTGTCTCTCCAGCAATATGTAAAGATGGATTTATGTCGCTTAGTGAGCCAAGAACATGCAACTTGATTTACTAAGTTTAGTAACTGAAGTGTTGTGTATGTGTAAGAGGGAGAGCTCCACCTACTGGAAAAACCTTCCAGTTTATGGAATGCAATTTTGAGTCAAGTGTGCGATACTGATTTCTTATGTCTGGTCTCAGGGATTTGGAATGAGAGCATATGCAAAGAAATAGACTTCTTTCAACTTTAAAAAGTCTGAGCTCTGAAAATATGTTCTCAGATTTTCATCTGGATTTGTTTTGTTTTTAGGAACACCATCTCCAACGGGCTATCTCAGCACAACAAGTATATGGAGAGAAGAGGGATAACATGGTTATACCGGTTCCAGAAGCAGAAAGTAATATTGCATACTATGAATCTATATATCCTGGAGAATTTAAAATGCCAAAGCAGCTGATTCACATACAGCGTAAGTAAAGTAACTCATTCATCAAAGTCTACACCAATAACTTTTATTTTGCTAGTAGTTCAAGAGATTACTTTCAAATGTCTGTTGAGCTCACATCAGGACTGACTTCTGAGAATTAATTTTTTCCAACATGTAAAGGAATACATACTTCTTACTGAAGAGGTATATTTAGTTCTTGATCAAGAAGTAGATAGATGTCCTTCTTGAGTCTATGTCTGTATGTTAATACTTTTAAGTTTAGCAATCTCAAAAAGCCTGATTCTGCCCTTTATAACAGTAGTTACAGCTTGCAGGGAAGTTTAGGTTTGTTAGCAAGGATATACACAAATCTACTTGAAGAGGAGAATATATAATACATATTTAAGAAACAGAGTACCTGTCCCCTGAAGCTTAACCAGGATAAAATGACAGTAGAGTGGATTGGGAAGCCAGGCAGAAATGACAGCCGTAGTAGTATTTGCCTGTGCCTGAATGGAAGTATTCTACATCTAAAAATAGGTGGGTTTGATATCACTGATGACTTGTAAATGTATTGGGATTTTGGTTTTGTTGGAAGACAGCAGCTGTTCTGTTTGGATGTGGCCCTGGATATGAGCACCTCATTACTTCAGATAACTTTTGAAAACATAAAAATATCATCTGTTGCAGAATTCTGTTGCGTTGTGTAATTAGTAGAATTGAAAAGTAGTATCTGTGCTATGTAAATGGATCTCATGCCTAATTAACTTTGGTTAAATGTTAGACTTCTGTATCAGTCCAACCTTCAGTCGTAGCCTAAAGTATTAGAGCATGCTGCTCCGCTCCTAGGCAAATGGAGAGACTAATACTAGCAGTCTTCCATGCTGATACTAAGGTTACACTTCTTCATTCTTCTTTTCCTTATCTAGTGGTCTAACAGCTGAAATAGTGATTTTTCAGCTGCATTGTATTCTACCTATTTATTTATTAAAAGTAAGTGATGCTTTTCACAGTGTGTTTCCAAGTGTGCACTGGGGAAGAAATTTGTGTCTGTTACAAACTAAAACAACTTGAATGAGGCATGAGAACTAGGGAGATCTTCGTTTGAATGCAGAATGCTGCATTTTCATAGGATATCGTGGAAAACAGAACAGTTGTTTGTGTTCTGCAAAATGTTACTTGTATTTGAAGACGCCCTGCTTACATAGGGTAGACCATGCTGGGCCAGTTTAGTCTGACTCATCTACATCACAAAAATCATTGATGAGAATACGTCATTATAATACAGTCTGCACATACTTTTTTAGACATACCTTTAAAGTGTATTTGGGCTGAAGTCTTAACTGTTGGTAATACAATAGATAAAACTGCAGAATACTAGACAGCATTGAAAATTTTGACCAATCTAAAAATTTCTTATTGAAGGCAATGAGGTAGAAAGCTGCTAGCTGGCTTGACCGCTAGTAAGCTTTCATTGGTTAACAAAAGCATAGTCAAGTAGATAGCAACTTTTATTCCTGATTTTTAATGGTATAATTTTTTTCAAGAAAAAAATAGATACGACTTCGAAGTAGCATTACTACAACATTCAAACAAATAACTTTGGTTTTGTCTTCAGAAGAATCTGGTGTGTACTCCAGTGTCATGGACATCCAGACACTGGTATGAGAACAAAACATTTCTATAGTAAAACTAACTTTAACTTTCACTGTATCGTTTAGCTTTTAGTTTGGATGCTGAGCAGCCGGATTATGACTTGGATTCAGAAGATGAGATCTTTGTGAATAAGTTGAAGAAAAGAATGGACATCTCTCCTTTGCAATTTGAGGAGATGATAGACAGACTAGAAAAGGGCAGCGGTCAGCAGGTACAACGGTACTTTGAATAAAGAATTTGAAATATACACTCTGTGTATTGCTATATGAAAGTGACATGCTGGGTTTTACATTTAGCCAGTCAGCCTGCAAGAGGCCAAGCTGTTGCTGAAGGAAGATGATGAATTGATCAGAGAAGTGTATGAGTATTGGATTAAAAAGAGGAAAAACTGTCGAGGTCCCTCTCTTATCCCAGCAGTGAAACAAGAGAAGCGAGATGGTTCCAGCACAAATGATCCTTATGTTGCTTTTAGAAGACGAACAGAAAAGATGCAGACACGAAAAGTAAGTAGATCAATACCTCACTTTGCTTTTTTTTCTCTTCCTTCCCCCCATCTCAAAAAGTAGCTTATATAAAGAAGCAATTCTGCTATGTAGTATAAAACAATAAAATTTGGGGCGTTCTTTTGTTTTAATTTACAAGGGTAAATACGTAAAGAAACTACTTTAGGACAGCTATTGAATGGAAGTTTGTATTTATTATTTTTTCACTAAATGTACTGCTAAACCTACTTACGGTGTTGGTAAGGTATAGCTCATTGATAACATGCACGTGCTTCTCTTTGTTTTAGTGTGTGGGGTTTTTTTTTAATATACATAAATAGTTATAACTTAAATAATCTGAATTAAAGTAAATGATGTGGGGAAACATACACACTATGTATTTACAGAATCGAAAAAATGATGAAGCATCTTACGAGAAGATGCTTAAGCTGCGTCGAGATCTGAGTCGTGCAGTAACCATCCTGGAGATGATAAAGAGGAGGGAAAAAAGCAAGAGAGAGTTGCTGCATTTAACACTGGAAATTATGGAAAAGAGGTAATGTTTATTGAAAATTTGCTGCAGAAAGCTTTGGCAAGTACTTTGTATTGCAATTCCCACAAATACTTAAAACAGTGAGAGATTTTTAAAATAAGTGTTTAGATTAGACTCTTTCACATTTACATGATAGCATATTTTCATATATGGCTATGGAGAGCAAAATAAAACGTTAGGAAGTTGCTTATTATGGAAAAGTGACCTGTCACACTAATTACATTGTTTTATTACATGTGTACATGTTTTCAAATGTATGTATATATCCTATATATTACACAGGAAGAGAGATCATAGTTTCAGGTAAATTCCTATGGAAATTTGTGTTAAACTTAAATGCATAGATTAAGGAAATCCCAACTAATTTTAAGGCCATTTCCAATCATGACCATTCTTCTTTTTCTTCATTGTCGCTGTTCTTTTTTAGCAAACCTTGATCTAATACCCTCTTGAGGAAAACAAATAAGCATTTCATACAGTATAACATGTTGTTCCGTGAGTCATCTCCAACTAGTGCTTCTTTTGACATCCTGTTTGTCAGCTGTGCTGAAGACCAAATGCTCTGTTCTGTCAACTGTCACTTTCCCAATCAACTGAGAATCACATTTGCAATGTGGACTTGTTCTTTAGCTTGATACTTAGAATCTGAATAGACTTCTCTAGCTTAAGCATCCATGTTTGAAAACAAATGTTTTGAGTCAGTGTTTTAAAGCTCTAAAACTAACTTTTTAGTCTGGTTTCTTAGGGAGACAAGTTGAATGTCAGTCTGTCCTCTCTACTAGGGGCGCTTTTTTCAAGCACTGACCATTTACAGTAGAAATAGAGAGGGGAGAAATCTCAAAGATTTTCCAGTAACTTTTTCAAGAAAATAAGCTGTTGAATAGAGGGAAGACTCTAATGCCCCCCTCAGAATGGAAAACTGCACTTCAACTCAGCACTTTCCACAGGACTTGAAATGTTATGTGTTTCATGGGTCTGCTTGTTGTGAAACTATTCCATAACACAAAAGAGGGAGGATTCATGAATAAGGGGCTCTCTCTTACTGTTTAAAACCTTTTGGGTAATAAATGTGTATTTTTTTAAATGGTCCTCAAGTGAGGAGGGAGGGAAGCTCCTGTTCTTTCCTTCTAGTTTCTGCTTCTTTCATTTACATTACTATCTTTTGCAGATGTGTTACAGGCTTTACAGGGTAGTTACCCTTTTATTTATTTGTCAGCATTAGTCATTGCAATGAAGTTTACATGTTAATATTCATGATTTCTGGAACAATACTTTTTATACTTCTTGCTGTCATCCTGGATGTCCCTTTACCCCAAGTTGCAAGTATTAGTCTGTGTTTCTCTGTGTTGCGCCATTTTTTACCAGACATGCATTGTAAATATTCCAACAAATAAATAAAAAATTTCTGATTTCAGGTATAATTTGGGTGACTACAGTGGAGAGATCATGTCTGAGGTCATGGCACAACGGCAGCCGATTAAACCTACCTATGCTATTCCCATCATTCCTGTGACTAACAGCAGTCCTTTTAAACACCAAGAAGCTATGGAACTGAAAGACTTTAAAGTTAAAGTGAGTAATGTCAGTAACCAGGTGACTAGTTCATGCTGCTACATAGGCAAGTTACAGCATTTTAGGATGGGAGGAGGGTGGAAGCTGGAATAGACTAGCAGAGCTGCAACTGGAATAAAATGCTTTGTTCTATTGGAGCTATGAGGATAACATACAGACTGCTGGCATTCCTCAGGACAGAAATAAAGGAAGTATAGACGACTACAGACAAAAGGACATGTGCAATTGTATTCTTATTCTGGGGAATACGGACATTTTTCTCTAATACTGTCCATAAAGTTAGGATGACCTGAACAAAAGTACCTAGATATTGGACAAAGGTAGGACTAACAAGGTAAAACCCGTACCTTGTTCTAAATTCATGTAGTTATTTTAATCCGGAGGGTTGTTTTTTGTTCTATTTTTTTTTTTCTGATCCACTGATATTCCCAGCATGCTGTATATCTTTGTCTGGTTTTGTATTTAAGTAAAGTATCAAATAACCTTATTTGATTTAGAAAGCCGACCAGCACTTTTTTTCCTGCAGGCTTTAATTTTGAGTCATACAAAGCATAGCTACAATGCCAACAACTGAGCATATTAAATAGGTCAGGTGACACAGGAGAAATGCTGAGGTATAATTTGAATTTTAAACAAAGACTTCTTATAACTGAAGAATGTCTAAAGGCTGTTCTGAATCTGACAAGGTGGCTTGAATCAGTGAATAGTTCCATTGATAGTAGATCATTGTAATTGAGATTGCTGGAGTGTACTTACCTATTAGTGATGTTGGGTCAATGCAGTGTCTTGCAGCTTGAAAGAAATCTGTTTCTTGTAAACTTAGGAAATGAACTTAAACTTGACTTTGCGTAATATGGGGAAGTGTGTTTAATTTTTAGAGGATTTTCTGAGATTCTAGGTATCTTTGGGAAGTCTAACTTCTATTTTTGCCTTTAAAGCATTGTTTGGTACTTAGTAATTCCCTAACACTGCATAAATGCCTATTAATTTTAAATGTTAGAAAATAAAAAGGTGCCTCATCAAGATCATTGTATATATTTTGATCTACTTCTCCAAAGTAGTACTGTTATCTTAACTGCTAGTGTTTTATCTAGCACGGTTTGAACAAACAGTGCTTGATTCCACCGTGTCTGTTAAACGTTTCAATTATTGGAAATGAAATACAGATATTCATGAAACGACTGCATGTTTTGCTATCAAGATGGTGGAGAGATGAGTTCACTTTTTAGCTTGCTTACACAGGAGTTTTCTAAAACTCGTGTTTTAATCTAATTTGCTTGTGTGTGTAATTTTACACTGTTTTTTTTTTTTTCCTTGCAGCAAGATAAACCTGATGTTATTAGACCCAAAAGAAAGTATGAGAAGAAGCCAAAAGTCTTACCTTTGTCTGCTGCTGCTACTCCTCAACAGACAAGCCCTGCTGCACTGCCAGTCTTCAATGCTAAAGATTTGAATCAGTATGATTTTCCTAGCTCAGATGAAGAACCTCTCTCCCAGGTAGGACCTCTAGAGTTCTATGCTGCTCTTGGGGAAAGGATAGAAGTAAAACTTATGAATTTACTAACACCTTTCCTTATACACCCCCATCCCCTCTTTAAAGGTTTTGTCTGGTTCTTCGGAGGCTGAGGAAGAAAATGATCCCGATGGTCCTTTTGCCTTCCGTAGAAAAGCAGGCTGTCAGTACTATGCTGTAAGTAGAATTTCCTTATGTATCATAAGAGAGAGCATCATTGTGGGAGAACATCTTGTGTTTAATTGTTTAAAATTATTTTAAGCCTCATTTAGACCAACCTGGCAACTGGCCATGGAGTAGCCCTAAAGAGGGAAGATTAGGAGATGTGCGTTACAGATACTGCTTAACCACCCTCACTGTACCCCAGAGGTGTATTGGGTTTGCACGAAGACGGGTCGGCCGTGGTGGAAGGTAAGTGCTACATAATTGTTGCTGTTTTTAAAAATAAAATGGGGGGAAAAAAACCCAAAAAAACCAAAACCAAAACAAAAAACAGTAAAACATAAAGAGCAAAGTTTAAAAAAACCAAGCCCCTCAAAAATGGAGACATCAGAGAGATTGACTTTTTAAATACTTCCATTTGATAGAAGTTTCCTTAGCTTAATGTCCCAATTTATATTTTGCGGTAGTGGAAGCCACTTTAATACTGTTTTCTTAAATGTTTCTAGGGTTTTTTATTGCTGGCACTCCCAGTTCTGAGGTGAAAATACATGTATGTTTTCAGTTGTGATTGGTGGTTTGTATTTAAATGATTTACATAGTTGTCTTCAAATAGTAGCATTTAAAAATAGCAAAAGTCGCATTTTTCAGAAAACGCTTTTCTGAGTTTGGACCATATTTGGTGATTTGCCAGTTGTAGAGGAAAATTTTGGGAGGAATATTTACAAGTGACAATAACTGTTAAATTTCAAACATTGTCAAAGATATCAAAGAATTAAGGACTGACTTCAAGCATTTTGCTTCTAAGCCTCTTTATCAAAAACAATTTATAAATTGTTCAGTGTATAAGTGCTATTTCTTAAATATTGCATGTTGTCTTTAAGAAAATGGTACATTGGTATTAAATTTTATTTTAAAACAAATGTAAGAACATGATTTGGCTTTCAGATTAATGCTTAGCACCTCTTAACATATTAGCAAGTCAGATTGGCCTATCAGCAAAATCAGAATGGGAGGTGAAGGCTCTTACTGGGATTTTGCAAGGGGATTTGGAAGTTAATGTGTGACATCCCCATTGCATTGGGATGGTTGTAGGTATATTCAGTATATATGGGAGTAAGGCCTTTGAACTGAAGTTACTTTAGGAGGGCATTTGAATCACTTTTTAGTTACTTAAGCAATTTTATTTTATTCTCTAGGTTCTTTTTCTTTGCATTGTGGAACTCTTATCTTCCAGCCTGATGATTTAAAAAAAAAAAAAAAATTATATATGTTGTTGCAGTGTCTTAATATATACATGACGATGTACATCAGCTGTTCAAACAGTAAAAGCTAGAATGTACCTGTAAAGAGAAACCTAAACATACCGCTTGTTGTAAAATAATGTATAGTCATGCATTGTGTCTGTTTGGGGGGGTGTTGCTTGTTGTAGGACAGTTTTGTGTAGTTTCTTCTATCCGTTTCTCTTCCCCAAGCACACATGGCAAACGGGTGACTTTCTTGGTATTTTCTTGCCACTGTATAACTCTGCATTGTTTTCCTGGTTTTAGGGTGCTACTAGACAGAGCGCATTCGGACTACGATAATACATTTCATCAGCTGGATTTGGAAATGTTTTCCTCATCACAACACTCCTCAATCAGTCAATTTGCCAATACCTCAGAAACAAATACCTCGGACAAATCTTTCTCGAAAGACCTCAGTCAGATACTAGTCAATATCAAATCATGTCGATGGCGGCATTTTAGGCCTCGGACACCATCCCTACATGACAGTGACAATGATGAACTCTCCTGTAGGAAATTATACAGGGGTATAAATCGAACAGGCACAGCACAACCCGGGACCCAGACATGCAGTACCTCTATACAAAGTAAAAGTAGCAGTGGTTCAGCACATTTTGGTATGTTTATTTTGACAAACTTGCTTCTAGAAATTTTAAACTTGGCTCAGAAAATCCAGAATATCATTAGATCATCTATACTCTACATCATGGTCTATTTTGATGGTAACAGCCCATCTTCACGTTTATCTCTTTATTTGCTACATAGAATGTTTATTTGTATTTATTGCTAGTGGTAGTGTACTGCATCTCAAATTTATGCAAATGCTACTTTGGTATGCAATTATGATTTTAGAAATATGAAGGTTTAGAAACCAGTATTGTGTAGGGTTTAAGCTGACTCTGAAGATCTGGAATTTTAAAATTAAAAATACATTGATTGACATGTTGATGCAAATATTACGTTCCAAATTTTTTCTAGTACAAGGTGTGGTGGTGGTGGGAAATGTTTAAGTAAAATGTTTGCATTTAAAATCCCGGCATGTTATGAATTATTATTTGCACTTACATGAAATTAAATGCCACTTCCCATCCAAAAAATACCCAGCCCACCCCCACTGATGCATCTGCTCATGCTTAGCAAAACGCTTGGACTAATCATCTCTTGTCAGCAAGTGGCAGATTACATCTTCTAGAACCTGAATTACAGAATTGAGGACCTGACTCTAAGAAAACTTGATGTGGTGTTAATTGTTTTATAATTGGAGTACTATTGGATAGCATCACTGTTTATATTGGGTTCTTCACACTGGAAGATTGGTATTTACATAGTTAGAATGTAACTTAAATAACTCTTGAATTTTGATCAGTCAGTACATTAAATGTCATCTTTTTATAGAAAGTAAAGTGATGTTTTTTACAAAGAAATAACTTTAAAAGTTTACCACCATTTTGTGAGGAGTCTCTAGAATCATGTTTTCCTTGCCATTTTGAATTACGGCTTTAGAAATAAATTAGAAAACCTGGATAATGTAGGAGTTGGGTGGGGAGAGATGCATATACTTAATAAACTCCCTAACCTGTGGGATGTTTTGGAGATTTGCTCAAAGAGTGTTACCCTGGTATCAGATTACTTTAATCGTCCTGTTTTCCAGTATACTTTGTACCTTTCCTCTCTGCACCACCTGTTTTTGGTGTTTTGGGTTTTTTTTCCCCCCCTAAAAATTCTTCGTCCTTGCATTTTTAGACTTAGTGGGCAGCTTTGTTCTGCTGCTTTATTTCATGCTTCCTCTCTGTGCTGTCCTAGAGTAGGTCCTTGCCCCTATCTCCCATTCTTTTCTCTTTTATGACTCTTCTTGCTGGAAATGTATTAGGGCTAAAATTGACAGTTCTTCTGGTTTGTGATCTAAGTACAGCTTTTGGTGTTCAAATTCTGCCCCTCCAATGTTTCAAATCAGTAAACCAAGTCCAGAACTGAATGAGAGTATCCTCTGTCTAGTGGCCAGTCTGAACTATGATAAAATGGTAGTCAGGTTACTAGTGTGAAAACAAAACTGATGCGTGAATGAATAGATTGTAAATACACTATAAAGTATTAATGGGTAATACATTACATCTGAAAATCAAGTAGACTTGAAAAATTGGCTGATTGTGTTTCTGTCATATGTCTTTGTGTGTGTGTGTGTGTGTGTATAAATAAACACACACACTCCCCCACCCACCCCCGAATCTTTTTTCCTTAAATAGATGATTAAGTTATTCATCTACATCGTTTAGGAATTAAATGCAATCGTTATTTATGGTGATGAGTTCTGTACAAGGTTTTAATTGTGTGGTTGTGTTTTGAAGCCTGTGGGAAAGTAATACATACGTATAAGTACCTAGCATATTACATTCATTTGTGCTTGGAATTCTATGCAGATGGTTTATCATCTGTGTAAAATATTTGTTAGTATTTTGAGTTTTTCCAAATTTTAAATGTTGTGGAGTTTAGATTCATATTTTTGTTAGGGTTTGATACAGGAATGAAATACTCAATAAAAAAATATAACTATGTCTGAATTCATACATATACTTTAAATTAGTTACCACAGTCTTTGGATAGTCACTTGTTATTAATATAACCAGGTATATTGTACCCGTATAATTATTTATAATCTTAATCAGGATTCTTGTAGCATTGGAGGTGTATATGAGTTTGTGTATATGTGGTGTAATGATGATCGTCTGTTTAGGTGTAGGTGTTTGAAAGGAGCATGTGGTCTAGTTCATCTTGGTGCCGTTCTGTCTTCTATTGTTCTTGTTTCAGTTTCTTAAAGAATTCTTTAAGATACATTGTCTACACACATTACAAGTGTGTTTGTATGTCTCGTATGTATGAGTTTGACTTCTTCTAAGGAATGTGTCAGTTGGGGCTGCAGCTGCTGAGTTATGTCATCTTACTTTCCCTAGCAAATACTGTAAAGAACATCAGGTATCTAACATCTGTACTAAAGTTTTTCTAATAGTCACTACTGCAGATTTACAATGCTGTAGAGTGTCCCTCTTCCTTTTTCTTAGCTGTCTTTAAAGCTGGGAGTTGTGGGTGTGGATTTTTTAGGTTTGTTTCTCTTTGCCTTTTAGGTTTTTGAAGTGGCAGTAGGTCTTTTTACCAGAAAATACTTATTAATGCATCTCTACCTTTAAAAATCCTTTTATCCTTTTGCTGCTACTGTGAGTTGTGGTTAAAACGTATTTCTTACCTTTAAGAAGAAGCTTATACTGAGATTCTGTAGTGGCCAGCAGAGGTGGTTGTGTTGCTGTGTTTATCGTTCACCATCACATGATAAGTTTTGTCTGTTTCCATATTGAAGAAGTTTAGAGAAGTCTTGAGCTTTTTCCACCTTGAATGATCCAGACAACATGCTGCTGACATGGAGAAATTGCTGTGGGAAACCTTGCTTTTCAAGTCTGTTATACATGGCCAGTACAGGCATGAAGTTGAGATGGTATCTCAGGTCTTCTGTTAATCAGAGGACATGTTACAAACGTTGTGCTGTCACATACCATTCTCTGGCTACAGGAAGCATTGTTTTTCATCCTGAAGATTGGAGAGAGGTTTCCCCAAAGAGCCAGGCATTTTATAAACATTTTGAAGTGTCTTTGACTCTGAAGAAATGCGAGTTATTCTGGTCCTGGCTTTCAGAGTGCTCAGCATAAAAGATCTGTGGAAGATGAAGTTGTTGCATTGAGATTTTGTGTGTAAACTGAGAAGGGATGTCTTAACAAACAAACAAACAAAACCCTTACAAGTTACTTGAAAACAGGGCTTGTACTGGACTTGTTGTGTGCTGAAGGATAGACTTCGGCAGCAGGATCAAGTGGCCAAGAAAAGTAGCATCATTTTTGAAGAGGTTGGTTCCTTTTCATCTTACTGAAGAATTACGGAAGAGCATCCTTTGCCCTCTTGCAAGAAGAGCCGATTCAAGGATCTCCAGGCATATGTTATACAGAACACCACTAAAAAGCAGGCAAGAGTGTAAAAGCTTGATTCTTGTGGAGGAATAACTTGTTCAGTGGGGAAGCTATTCACTCTGAACAAAGTGCAACAAATACTTCAAGAAAAGGAGCCTGTATTGCTGACAATCTCATCAAGTTTCTGAATCATAATCTTCAGAGATGGAGCTTGTGTCTTAACTCTGGAGTGTACCGTAGGCATTAATATTCATCTGAAGTATTTGTGTCCCAGGAATTTAGTCTTCCTTGTTAAATTAATTGATTGATTTAGTTCTGCCAGGCAAATGGTAGTCTTTGAACTACATCAGATTGTAGAGACTCTGTGCTTTCTGCTGGAGACTTGCTGTTAAATATGTTACGTGCATATTTTCGGATGTTTGCATCTAGTAGGCAAAAGTTTGAGACATTTAAAAGTGCACAGCATGTATAATTCTGTTGCAGCCTTGTGTTTAGAAGGCAGACCAGAGATACCAGTCTTTTGAATACTGGTTCCCAGGCTCCACAGTAAGACCAGGCAACTGTCTTGCATTCTGTTCTTTTCTGCCTTCTTCATCCAGAAGCTGGATCACTTTGAAAAGAAAGTCTGCAAGCTGTCAAGACTAAAGAGGCCAGCAGTTAACTAGAATCTACTCACTAAATTTGTAATTCTTTCTTTGAGAAGTTGTTTAAGTATTCTAGCAGAAGCCTTACTGAAAATTCTTAAAGAGTTTTGACGATTGGGATTGTAGACCTTATTGTATATGAAAAACTGCAGGCATCCAGAATATAGTTAAAGAATCCAGAGTAGCTTACCTTGCATTTTCTTGTAAACTAGAGATTTAGATGATGTGCTGCAAGTTGTGCTTTGCTATTCAGTAACTTCTTCTGTGGGAATTCCATAGAAATAACGTTTTTCCCAGTAAACTTGAATGTTTTTTTTGCATCTCTTAATCTGCTTTTTAAAAGCAAGTTTGCACACTTGGGGGTCTAGCAGGATGGTGAACTATGCTTCCATTTCCCAAATGTGTGTTTAGCATTTCCAAATTTGTAATGTTGGTTGATGGATCTATACTATTTTTTTGTGTTCTCATTAAGGATACCTGACACCCATCTTCAGGCATCCCTTTCCTGGAAGGAGGCAGGAGGAAGCTTCTCAATCGTTGTGGCAGTTCCTCCCACCAGAGTAGAAGGACTTGTCCTACCTTTTCAATGCTTTCATGCCATCGCTGGCTGTCTTTAGATCTTTTTATTTAACCCTTGTATCTGTAATAGTCTCAACACTGCTCTCTGTTTTACTCTTCCCTTTTCCAAATGCTTATTTTCACATTGAGGATAAACTTAGTATGAAAAATACTGACATTTATAATGGCCATTTTCAGTTATCATTGGAACTTAACAGTCTTGGTCCATCTGTGGCTGAGATGTTTAGATCCTAGTTGAAGAAGCAGTGGCCTTGGGAGTAACAGAGGTTATAGCCAAGCCTAGGCTTAGTTGAGGGAGGAAATCTTAAAAGGAAAAACCTCTTTAGTCTGGGAAATGTGACTGGGCATGGGGGAAGAGTCAACACTTACTAAAACATCTGAGCACTTCTGGAGACTTTGAGACTTTGTAGTTACACTAGATTTTTTCATTCAGCTTCAGCCCAG